AAAAAAAAAAAAAAAAACAACAACAACAAAAAAAAAAAAAAACTTACTTGAAGATGTTTGCACAACTTTGCAGACAGAAATACAGTGTGCGCCAGGTAAGAGAGGGAGGAAGAGAGGGCGAGGGAGGTGTAGAGGGAGGGAGGGAGAGAGGGAGGGGGAGAGGGAAGTCAGGGAAGGCGTGCGGAAGCAAACAGGTCAAGCTGGCCTTTAATTAAGGGAGTACTCGCACAAGGACACCTGTACTGAATCTGGCGATGATGGAGGTCAGATACATCCGCACAAGTGCCCAGCGTATGTTCTCATAGTCATTTCAAGATTTCTCAACCGGCACGCATGCAGAGTTTCTTGCCCAAATTGGAAAGTTGTCACAGGCTTCGCCTGTAGTTCTTTCTGGAGCTCCTTGGCCTTGCTCTTTCCAAATGTGGAAAGATCACTCTTTCGTTTTTTTTTTTTTTGGGGTGAACAGTGGTATGAATCATGGTCACAAAATTTGGAGGATGACAGCATTGATTGCCCTGGCTCTTTCCAAATATGGAAAGGTCATTCATAAGAATCATAACCCTGCCATGAACCCCCTTGCCTTATTACGAGTAATGGCTTTCCTGGATGTATCTGAGCGTGAATGTAGCCAGATTCTGTTCAAAAAAAGGTATATATGAATCCCTCCCTTGCCTCTATATCCCGGACATTGAAGGCATAATCACATCGGACCTTTCCTGGATGTATCTGACCGTGAATGCAGCCAGATTCAGTCGAGAAAGTTGTCCTAGCCAGAGCGAGCATGCCCTGTGAATGAATACCAAGGAATCATTTTGAATCTCTGTCATTTCTCCTCTGCCTCAATTTCTAGCAGCAGCTGGGCACCCCTCCCCCCCCCCCCCCCCCCCCCCCCCCCCCCCCCCCCCCCCCCCAGTCTTGTTTTTTTTTTTTTTTTTTCCACCGACCCAGCCCCGCCCCCCTCCAACCACCTACTCTTCTTTCCCCTCCCCGCCCCCCCCCACCAGGCTCCCCCGCCATTACAATTTACTTTGTCTTTTTTTTGCCTTTGCAAGGGCCGTCTGTATGCGTGTGTTAAAGTTTTTTTTTTTCCTTTTTTTTCTCCGGCTTATTTTCATCACTCACAAACCGTTAATCCTCCATTTCTTTTCTTTTTTTTCGTTCTTTTCATTTTTTAATTTATCTTATTCCAATCATTGGACGCACAAGGTCGCCCACGTATAAGGTTCTCTGTATACCGTGTGCTTGAGAGCAAGAGACAGAAAGAGAGAGAGAAAGATAGAGAGAGAAAAAGAGAGAGCGAAAGAGAGAGAGAAAGAGAGAGAGAAAGAGAGAGAAAGAGAGGGAGAGAGAAAGAGAGAGAGAGAAAGAGAGGAAGGAAAAGAGATGGGGGGAAGGGAGGGGGTGACGGCACTGTAACTTACTTCAATGTATTTGAAATAGTCCAGGTAATTCCGACGGTAGTAATCGTCAAGCCGCTGCACAGCATGCAGTAAATGGGGCCACATACACGCAATCAGCAAGGCAAGGCAAGGACTGGAACTCTGAGAGATTCCTTTTTTTTCTTCTTCTTTGTTTTTTCCCTTCTTTTTTCGAAAATTTTTCGTTTTTTTTTTCTTTTTATTTTCTTTTTTGTTCTTTTTTCCTCCCTGATGCCGTAACTACGAAGAAGAGAGCTCAGTTGGTACACCTCCGAAAAGTTGAAACACAGACCCAAGATCGAACTCCACTGGAAGCAGATGAGTGAAATATACTACGGTTCTGATGGTGATAGATACCTCACGGCCGTCGTCCTTCAAAACAAAAAAAACAAAAAAAAGAGAAAAGTTCAGAAAACATTAAAAAAAAAAACAGGATGCTTTCGAGAATATCAAGGGGGTCTTCGTTGAGGAATTAGGGCCTAATTCCTCAACGAAGACCCGCCTGATATTCTCGAAAGCATCTTGTTTTTTTTTTCCTTTTTTTTGGGTGGGGTGGTGGTGGAGGGTGTTGGTGCATTTAGTGATAGAAAAGCAGAGTCAGTCAAATGAAGACCGACGGACGCTTGACACATCCATAAGCCGTGACATACACAGCAATCATATCATATGTGAAAACAGTCTCAAAATCCATAGAATTTAAAAAAAAAAAAAAAAAAAAAAAAAAA